ACTGCATACCCGGTTGCTAAAAGCGGATTATATATTAAAAAGATCTTGAAGGGTGCAATTCAAAAAATTGGCTAAAACCCTTTTATTTTATTTTTTTATTGGCAATTTGATTCATCTGCTCTGCAATTGTGCCAAAATACTAGTGTATACCAATATAGTATGTGCTTGAACAAATAGGGAGAACAGTATTTCTTGCTTTTTTCAATCAACATGAAAACTGCATTCTCAGCGAATATTTTAGCCACGTCTATTGCTATTTTCTTCATAGCCTACTCGCAAAATCCATTAGTTTGTAAATAAAGTTGTGAAAGTTTTCTCTTATCCACACTAGCAGTCTCACAACTAAATGCTTAATGCATTTTTGTATCAATATTTTATGTTTTTTATTTCGCCGCTTGAAAGTTTTGCGTTGCTTTGCCACATTTCATTTTCAATCAGCCTGAACTTGAACTTTTTTTGCCGCTTCTCTTTATTTGTTTGTTTATTTTTACGCTTTGCTCTGGCTTACCCGCTTGTACGCCCTAAGTCGTAAGCCGTAAACAGCTCTACGCCAATTCTTGGCAAATATTTGAAATCAGAAAGGGGCTTATTTACAATATCTCCTAAAGGTTTATGAAATCTGTTTACATTTGCAGTAGTCTGGATTTATATTTTGGTGCACATGGTGTTGAGTAGTTTATTTTAATTTAATTCAGAAATTTCATGAAATCAAGAAATTTATGAGAAATTTATCTCAATAAAAAATGCTACACATTTATTGATGGACATTGAATAATATCAATTTGCCAGCTTTCAAAAAACTAGATGGACCAACTGTATGAATATCTTGCATAGTGCTCTTGATAAATTTAAAATATACATAATTGTAAATGTATAATTGTCTCTTGTGTGTGACTTTTTCGCCATCTATGCAAGGCTTAACAACCGAGTAACAAGGAAAAAGATTGAAAAGTTTTGGACAATTCTATGTTTAGAATTCGCGGAATCATTTTTCATTTTACAGCATAAACATTTTAAGGCAGTAACTGACTTATTCAATTTAATATATAAAACTCTGTAAGACAGAAGAATTGAAAAAAAGAATTTATGAACAGTATACTCTGGCTTTATAAATGTTAATATTAAACAACAAACGTAGCCGAGTGCGTCTCCCTCTTTTGCTTAAACTGCAATTCTACAGACATTACACACGAAAATACACGGTATTGGAAATTACTATAGCAGGCGTATTATAATGGGTGTTATGTATATCAATCTTGTATACCCTTTTTGTCACCATTTGTGTGCAAAAGGTGTTGAAAAATGTCAGCCTAGCGCGCACGCACGTCTACGCTGCGGGTACGCAATATTTTCATATTAATCTTCATTCCCATCACATATCTTTTTTTTCCTGCTGTCTTCGCCGTATGTCATTGCGGCTGTGATGGCAACTGGCACTGCCATTGTGTTCGTTCAGACACTCATGTGGAGCCACAAAATTTTTCTGACATGCTGATGTGACCAATAGGTGGTCCATGCCTTACTGCCTCCTGCTGTCTTGCTGTTGCCGCCGAAGGAATGTCTCGTTTATTTTCAGCAAAAGGATTTTTTAATATGCAGCGCGGTTGCTTTTGTTTTTGTCTTTGTATGGCATCCATACACATAGTAAGTACTTGTCTGACTGAAGAATTGCCCAAATCAGACTTAAAGGCTTTTTTGTTTTACGGAATTCTCACACGTGTGGCTGTGCTTAGTACTCACGAGACTTAACCCGGGCTTACAGAACGACAAACACGAAATGTTCATAAAAGGTGAAATGAAAACTGGAAAATGTTTGATGTTACTTGATGTTGGCTTCTGAAAAGAATCCCAGAGAGACTCTTCAACTGAAGTAGTAAACCTTTGTCTACAAATATTGGCTATCCACATTTTTATACTCTGTACATGAAATGTACAAGAGTATATTAGGTTTGCGGGAGCTGAAAAATGTAACAGGCAGAAGGAGGCGTGGCAGACCCCCCAAAGTATATATATTCTTGATCAGCGTGACAAGACGAGTCGATCTAGCCCTGTCTGTCTGTCTGTCCGTCTGTCCGTCCGTATGAACACCTGGATCTCAGAGACTATAAGAGATAGAGACACCAAATTTTGCACGAAGATGCGTTATGTGTGTATTCTATACGAGTTTGTTTTATTTTTTTGATTTTCCCCCCACTTCCCCCCTATGGGGGTTTTCCCGATTTTCCATTCGTATAATCGCCTATATCTCGGAGACTATAAGACCTAGGCACACCAAATTTTAGTCCAAGATGTCTTGTGTGAATACGCAGAAAATGTATATTTTGGAATTTCCCTCCCTCCCCCCTCTAACTCCCGTAATTCTTGGAATTTCGAACTAAAATTTTGCAAATACCCCCAGTTAGTAATTATGTGTTCGTATGCCAAGCTTCACTATGATAGACCGATTTACCAAGAAGTTATAGCCATAAATATATTTGCTGCTACAGCGCTGCTCAAGCGCTGCCCGCGGCTGTTGTTGATGTTGCTGTTTGGTTGACTGCGAAAATGCTTACACAGACACGAATTGATGCGCATAGGCATACATACACTCACACAGACGCAATTGCTATGTAAATGTGCAATTATACACCCTTTACGTGAGTTCGAATACCGAGAGAGGTAAAATCGATCCAATTTTTTTTTCTTTTTATAGCCTGTACCCAAAGGGTGAAAGGCTATACTAGTTTTGTGCGCATGTATGTAACACACAGAAGGAGGCGTGGCAGACCCCACAAAGTATATATATTCTTGATCAGGATGAGAAGACGAGTCGATATAGCCATGTCCGTCTGTCCGTCTGACCGTCTGTCCGTCTGTCCGTCTGTCTGTATGAGCGCAAGGATCTCAGTAAGTACAAGAGCTAGGATAACCAAAATTGGTATCAAGGTTCCTATAGGCAATAGGCAGAACGAGTTTGTTTATTTTTTCTGATACACCCCCCCACTCCCCCGCAATTCGTATTTTTTCTTATAACTTCCGTAATTCTCGGAATTTTGAAATCAATTTTGGTAGGTACATCCAGTTAGTACTAATGTGTCCGTGTGCCAAATTTCATCATGATAGGTCAATTCTGAAGAAAGTTATAGCCATAAGTAAAATCGCTGCTCATGCGCTGCCTCTGTCGGCAGCGCTGCCCGCAGCTGTTGTTGTTGTTGCTGCTTTGGTTTAACTTTGTGCTGCATACATACACGCATATAAACACGCATATAAACACGCATAGGTACGTGATGTAAATGTATGCTGTTTAAACTGAACATAAACATGTATTCTAATTTAATTTAATTAATTATTTTAATTAATTCATTCATTCATTTTTTTTAATAATTTAATTTTTAAAAAATTTTTTTTTTTTTAATTTTTTCCTTTTTGTGGAGAGTACAGGCTATTTTACTGTCGGGCTTGCTCGACTGTAGCGTTCTATCTTGTTTTTTTTTATTTTCTATAATTATTGTAAACATATGTACAGAGTATTTCAAAGTCGGGACACCCGCTTTAGTTAGGCCAAAGTTTGGTTTAGGAAGCATTTGAAATGTGGACGCTATTGACGAAATTCTGTAGCGTGGGAAGGGGGGGAAAATAAAAAAAAAAAATAAACTCGTCCTTTCTCGGACCTAGGAGAATCTGGATACCAACTTTGGTTATTCTAGCTTTTATAGTTTCTGCGTTCATCCAGGCGGACAGACGGACAGACGGACGGACAGACGGACGGACATGTCTAGATCGATTTCTCTCGTCATGGTGATTCATAATATATATACTTTATGGGGTCGGAGATATAATACGGTATATACTTACATATATGTTCCGTTAACATACATTAAGATTAGAATTGTGCCAATGTTTTTCTAAGCGTGGGTAGTACACTGGGTACATACAAGTATGTATGTTCAGTACAGAATTAAGTTGATCCAACCAGCAAAAACAAATACAGCTGGGGGAAGACCATGTGCAGAGATTATATTTCTGTAGAATTGACGAATCATAATCAAACATAACATGAGGCAAAATAAATAAATAAATATATGTTTTAAGAATTTGTATAAATAAATATATGTTTTGAAGTAGGAGGGGAAGGCATCTGCCTCGAGCTTCGAACAAGATCATATTCATACTCGATCGTCTCGGTTTTTCGTCGATCATCATAAATCAAGTGATCGAGCCAGATGTGTTCGCAACTCTCTGATTTATGTGTCAGTCACGCCTCTTCCTATAAAAAACGAATATCAACAAAAATGGTGCGCCTTATAGAGACATTTAACATGATGGAGCTGCAACCAATATTAGAATTATAACTGGGTTATTAATTAGTATAGGCACTATTACCAGAAAAGGTCCAATTAAGCCGTAAGGTTGACTTCAAGTATCCGTTGTGGGAAATATATACTTGTAGAATTGCCAAGAACATGCTGACAGAAAATGCACATTGAAAAGGCAGACATCGTCCTTCTGATTTTGTAAAATTGCTCAATTATAGTCCATAGATTGACGCTTGCAAACCGGTAAGAATTCATCTTTTGGAACAGTAAAGGATAACTATTGCAACTTCTTATATGCTGTTACACAAACATCAGTCTCTAAAATTACAAGTTCCGTGAACTAAATGGAATTGACAGGCTTTGCATTTCCAATTTTCATTCAATATCATTAAAAACGAAATTTTTGTTTCATTTAAAAATCGTTCCTGTGTTATAGTATTAGGATATTGTAAAGAGTGATGTAAATGTTGTAACATTATACAGAACACAACATATCAAATATATTTAGGAAAGCTTTTAAAACTGTAGTGTAAAACAACAATTCTGACGTATATTAAACTGACGTTTTTCAGAGAGAATTTTTAATATCATTCCCAATTCATATGGGCTTTACAAGTATATTAAATGAATATAAGTGAAGACTGAGAATGAATACTAATTTTAAACACTCAGAATGTTCAGCAATACTCGTATGAAGGCTTTGAATTATTTTTTACTCGGATTATTTCCAAATTCTAAAAACATTTCATCTAATGCCATCTGGGTAATGGAGTAGTCTTCCACATTTAATGCCACGCGATTGCTTTCAATTAAATTAAATATTTTCGGCCAATTTGCATTTTGTTTTGGGATAAAGTAAGTCAACTGATACCGAAACTCTTCCCTCAACTGGGCGTTGGGGAGGTTTTCTCTTATGAATTTCTTTATTTGACGAATGTTGTCCGTACATTTTGCGCAAGGAAAGTCATTTGGGTTCGTTGCTCCAGATTGTTGCCGTTCTCGTGGGCCTGAGAGTGATTTACCTTGGCTTGCACGTGGGCTAGGTGCTGGTGCACGGGTACTAGATCGCGGGATGGTTGCTGAGGCACGGGCGCTGGGTCGTGGGTGGGATGCCGTTGATGGACGTTGCGGGGTATTTGTCGCTTTACCGGACGCCACTCTGATTTTAAGAATAAATCCCTTTGAATACTTGTTCTTAAGGTATTGCGTAGAGCCTATGCACTTAAAATGTCCGTCCACCATAATTGCAATTCGCATACATAAGGCCTCAACCTCCTCCATACAATGTGAGGTCAGCACAATGGCCTTTCCTAATTCCCGTATCATCGCCAATACTTTCCACATTTTGCGACGAGCACTTGGATCCATACCAGCCGACGGTTCATCTAGATATAGCACTGAGGGGTCGGTAATTAGTGCAATAGCAACACTCAACTTGCGTCTATTTCCTCCACTGTAGTGTTTTATAGGCTTATCAATGTGCTCAATGAAGCCCAATTCTGAGGCCAAATCATTGCAGACGTCCTTGATGTAACGTCGGCGTACGCCTCGAAGCATACAGTATAGACGCATAGTCTCGCCACCGGTAAGTTCCTCTAACAGAGCATCATACTGCGGACAATAGCCGATGCGATCGTACACCTTGGACATGTTCTGGCGTACGCTGATCCCATCGACATAGGCGTCTCCCGAAGTAATTACCTCATCACCAGTAAGCATCTTGAATGTTGTCGACTTACCAGCACCGTTAACGCCCAATAACCCAAAGCACTCGGAATGCGCAACATAGAATGATAATTCTTTGACAGCTTGGATGTTCCCATATTTCTTCCTTATGCGATCCACAACAAGGGGCAGGTCATTTAGCTCGTCCTGTGTCATGTTAGCAATGGCGTCCCGTTCTAGTTGAACGTCGTTCTTATATCGAGCTGAGTCCTGTCCGCCTTCCGGCCTATTGGCGGCTTTACAGCAAATTACGCCACAACACTCGTTCAGGAAACTCTGCAACCCAGCACACATTTTTGCATCTAAGACTTGGAGTAACACGAATAGTAAAATGCCTTCTATAAAAAGGTAAATCATTTCGACTCTTATGCCAGGCTCTGGCGACCCAAAGTAAGGAGGTATATTACAGCAAGCCGGAATAATGCTGCAGGCATCACCATAAGATAGCTTTTCTACGGCTAGGGAGCTGCAACCCTCGCGCAAAATGAAGCTTAAATAAAGGTTATTAACACCGTTGGCGAGACAGAATTGGGGAAGGAGCCGAAAAAATATTACAAGCCTGTCCGCTAATTTTTTGTTTTTGGCATGGATCAATGTGAAGTGAAATAAGAATAGGACCATTCCACCTATCGCACCTATTAGAGCTGTCATTGTATATCCTGAAGCGGTCTCAGTTGAACAGCTGACTATCAAATAAGCGAAAGGAATAGCAGCAAAGCCGAACATCAGTAACAAGGCCAGATAACGACTCATGTCTTCTAGTGTAGAAAATCCGGGCTCCTGGAAAATGGCTATAGTAATTAATCCCAGTAGTACAGCCAAAGTGAAAATTACAAAGTCCCATAATAAATGCGAGGCCCAATATAAAAAGACATCCACCCCGGTAAGGAACAGCAATAGTTTTGTTCGTGTCTCGCGCTCCTTAATTATGGGTATCACAAAAAATGCAACAACATAGCTCATGCACATAGCCAGATTCAATGCAACTTGAAGTCCCACAGCATTCACAGCTTTCAAACGCTTCTGTAGCGTGTCCTGGCTAAAGGGTAGAGGATCGTTAACCACATGAGTACGTGCACTCGATCCCAATAATTTACGCGCCATAGCATTGTGCATTAAATTAAGCGTCAGTGGAGCCGTATGAAGTGGTTTATTGTTTAACCAGACGGTGAGGTTAGTTTCTGAAATCGTTGCGCCGGCTACATATTTCTGATCCACAAGCGCTCGATTTTCTTTGGACTCTTTCAAAATATAATCCTCAAAACTGGAGCCTTTTGTGTTTAATAGGCCTGCATCTTTGCCTACGACTTTCTTATAAGCGTCGGCAATTTCCTTGGTTTCGTACCCAGAATTGTCCTCTAGCACCACATAGGCGGAGGGAAACATTTTCAATGAAATATCTAGAGGTTGAAGCACTTTAGGCGTACTTTGGGCGGACGCAACTATTAGTGTTATTGCCATGAAAAAAATAGGTAGTAATAACTGAAGAATAAGTAGCCAGCAGCTTCGTTTTGTTGTCAGGGCTTTTCTCCTCAGCATTGCTCTCCAACGCATACCAAAGCGAACACCTGAGCGGGATTCGTATACGTCATCATCGAAGATACCATGTTCTCTACCGGCAACTAAACGCTTTCGGTTTGATCTGTAACCCAGTCTTACATTATTGGTCACCTCATGTCCACCGACATTCCGATATCTGTCTGCACCTGTCTTTTCAAATACATCTTCCAATGAGGCCGCACTTATACCATAACCATCCAACTGCAACCGCTGTAACTCATTCTCAAGGGCACTGAACATTTCCGCGTATACTGAAGTACTCCGAGTGGGGAGCCGATAGGTTAATTCCATTCCCACTTCAGTTTCTGGCCTTATGCCAGGTATATATTTACTTAAAAATCCGGTTACCTTATCTGACCTGCAACCCGGTTTTTTAATGCAAACCAACCGATATCCGGATCCGTATTTATTCTTTAGGCTAAACGAGGTACCATAACATTTTAGCTCTCCATTGCTCATAATGGCAATGCGATCCGCCAACGCATCTGCTTCATCCATGTAGTGTGTGGTTAGCAAAATGGTACGACCTGGTTTTTCGGCTCGCAGAAGATCCCATAGGTGACGCCGTGCTGCCACATCTAGCCCGGAGCTGGGCTCATCACACAGAACTGTTTTGGTATTGCCACAGAGAGCACAACACAGCGATAGCTTTCGCTTCATGCCTCCTGATAGCTTACTGGCGGCTGTATGTTGTTTCTTCTCCAAATTCATAATTACTAGATATTTTTTAATCTCAAGCTTCAATTCTTCTCCTTCCATGCCCTTCAGACGGCTGAAGAATTTAATATGATTACGCACACTCATATCCCCAAAAAGAACGTTGTGCTGTGGACAAATCCCCAGCGAGCTGCGAGCACAATCCAATTCGGTTCGGATATCGCAACCATTAATATAAGCCGTGCCTGATGTAGGTGAAATAATGCCGGTAAGCATGTGGATGGTTGTTGTCTTCCCAGCCCCGTTGTGTCCTAGCAACACGGTTATCTCGTCTTGGTACATATTTAAACTAAGATCTTGTACAGCTACCTTGTCACCAAAACGCTTGTGAAGATTACGTATCCGGATGCCGACTCGCTGCTCCAATGCCTCAGACTGCACAGGGGGGCATGTACACGGCTCCTCCGGCACGTCTCTGTTATTTTGGGATACTACTGCAAATGTGAATGGATACATAAATTTTCGTTGGAAGGGAAAGTACCATTTTTTTGCAATGCCATAGTGTCCCGGATGTATCTGCTCCACATATAGGCAGATTAGCATATATAACACGGATCCTAATACTAGCGTGATAATCACGTGGAGGAGAGATATATTATCGTCTACCGAAACTGAGCTGAAGATGTTACCCCAAGTTATACCTTCACCCATTTGTTCGAAGGCTACGATTATGTGGGCTCCAAATCCTAGCGCCGTATTAGAGAATAAAAAGCACAGAATTAGCTTGATTGCTAAGCCCAGTTTATCATAGTACATTAGAGCGTATGTAAAAGGCATGTAGGAAATGAACCATACAATGATCAGGATGGCAGCTGAAGAGCTGGCCTTACTGAAAAAGGCTGCCACCATGAAGCTAAAACAAATGCTTGCCACTATGTAGAAATGGAAGAAGAACAGCAGGGCCGTAAAACTGCTATATGGAAGAACAGGTGGAGCATTAATTCCTACAAGAAGCATGACCAAAATTATAACCGTTATCACAAATAGCACCAGGTAGCTCTTGATGAACCATGCCACCCAGTGCAACCAATTGTGCAGGTCAAGAAGTTTCATGATCTCCTTGAGTTGAGCTTCCTTCTCGGCTGCAATATACTTTGTAATAAACGTGCAGGGATAGATATAGCAGGTCACTAGAAAAAATGGAAAAATCGCACCTAACGCCAGCAGAAGACTATCAAAGATATATGGGTTGTAGGGAAATCGCTTAAGCTGGAGCTGTGGCAACAATTCAAAATTGGATTCGTCGGCTAGCTTCAACCAGGACATGGTCAGTGCATGCTGTATTGGTAGGAAACCCTCTGCTATGTAACCGACGGGTACACCTCCATCAATTTCCTTGTCATTTCGGGGTCCGAGATGTGCAGCCATTGGAAAAACTCTATAGGTCTGCCAATTCAAAATTTGTGTATTATTTGAAGTTCGCAGCTCACTAGGAAATCGTAACGAATATTTAAAGACCATTGGATACTCTTGGGTTCTTGTGTCAATGTTAGTGGACTTGAATACCACGCCAGCGATATAATTATGTTTGAGAAGATCGTACTCCATGTGGTCGGGAGTATTATAGCCGCGAGAGCCCGTAAGTTGCAGCATCTTTACAGCCTCCTGGACTATTGCGTCATTTTCGTTGCTTTTGGGGGTATAGCATAGCACATGGATGGGCATATTTAATGTACCATTATCGTGTACGAAAATAGCTCCTTTTACCACTCTTTTCAGATATAGTTGAAGATTATCAATGGGTACAGCCGCAAAGCGTTGTTCCGGCACATTTTCGGGCGTCTCGGTTTGTCGCATTAGGATCAAAAGCAGTATTAAGAGCGCTGGCAATAAAATAACTCCGACTAGTTGCATTTTTCGACTCCATTGAAGAACCCAATTCTTCCACAGCAGAAGCTTTAATTTCTTGCAGTTCGAAATACCTTTAGGTGCATTGCTACCTGGCTCTTCTGAATACATAGGAAAAAAGTTAGATAAAGGTGGTAATTCAAAGGTTCTAAAAATTTTGTATTGCTAGACTTTCTTGAAATTGTTATTTGCTAAAATTGTGTTTGACACTAGACCAAAATTAGTTTTCAAAATGATTGAAATACCCACATAAAAGAGTGGATTGTTTATTTGGTAAAATGTGATTAAGTATCTAGCAGACCACTTAACTATATCCTTTACCGGGGTTGATGAATAAGATGAGACGATTCGAACTAGAGTTGTTATTGTATGTAAGCAAACATCTTAGTAGAAATGGTAGGAACTAGTTCTTTTTTTTCCGATATGGAGCAAACCGATGGGTAGAAAATGAAGAACAGTACATTCCCACATTCCGCCTTATGATATGTACCTTCACGCGTGCCATCGTAGAAAACCCCTATATCACACATACTTGTAGTACTTATACCATACAAATACTATACACACTTGTCTGCTTTCTACATTCGAACGCGTGGCACTCAATGAGTAATTTGTTGGAGCCCCGGTAGAAAATAGTGTTGTTAGTATGATTCAGAAGGACACAATTACGTCTTGTCATACTGCCACGCCTACTTCTGTGTGCTACATTCATTCGCAAAGAACTAGTATACCCTTTCCGCCTTTGGATAAAAGGCCTAAAAATTGTTTATATACTCGAATGTATAATATGAATTTTTAGTTGTATTATTTTCCTCAACAACTAACAACAAGCCCTTATTGATCAGAATAAATACATTTACAATGAATACCAAAATCGTTCCCCACGATGTCAACGCCTGGGACGCAGACAGAGCCGCAGCCATCGCTTTTGAACATACACATGCATATACAAATACACACACAATACACCAATTCGCACACGCCTTTTGGTTAAATCTCAGCCAAAAGCTGAGCCAACAGCAGCTCGAATATAAATACGAATATAATGCAATATAATAAACGTCAAAAGCATGAAAGAAAACGGAAAAAAGTAAGCGAATTGTGTGCTGAAGGGTAAAATTTTACCAAACCAAGCCAGTCACAAACACGCACTCTTATTCAGCGTATGTATGTATGTACAAGTATGTATGTATGTATGTATGAGTGTGTGTGGATATAGGAATGTGGCAGCGATTTTATGTGTTGATAACCCTTTTAAACTTTTTGGCTTTCGTTTTGTGGCTTGGCCAATAACTGAAGTACGATGCTGCATAAATATACACACATAATACACTCGGTATGCACTCAAAAAAATAATTGAGTGTTCAAAATCAATTAAATACAACTTTTGGAACATTGTAGAAGCCGTAAAAGGGCAGCTCATCAAAAACTGTTTATTGAGAGTAGTGCATGAATGTTAGCTATAATTATACACCTACTGCCAGATTCTTAGTTTAATTTGTTTATCTCCGTTAGTCTCCAAATCGAAAAGCCCGAAAAAAAACTGTTTCGACTAATTAATAGTGGTAAATTAAAAATTATAGCATTTTTTAATTTTTTTCACATATTTTCATACAACATTTTACAGAAGTTAAAATGGATCACACCCAGTTATTTGTGAGTATGTCATGCTTATAACATCTGGGCATTACCGAGGTCTTGTGGCAAATGTGACGCATGCGCATTTGCTGGCGTTGATGCTTGTAGTCTTATCTAAAGCCCACTTTTCAAATCCTCATACTTGCATCCTCATTATTGCAACGCCTTCTTGTTGCTGACTACTTTTGAGTGTCTAGTCAGCACACAGTCATCGTCATCGTCATCGTATGTGGTTAAGGACACGTTATCCTTATCGACTTCTTCGGTTTCCCTGGGCGTGGGCAAATCTGAGCTCTGAATTCCAAATCTTTGGAGTATGCTAATTAATCGTCCAAGACATCTTCGCGTGTTTGTCTTTTGTTTTTTGAACTGAAGTTGTATGTCTTCAAAGGTAACTGGTTTTGCTGGGAAAGCTATTTAAGATGGCAATTACAGAGTTACATTTTTGCTACGCTTCTTAAGAATTTAAGTTTTATAGTATTGAGTTTTATGATTTCGTAGTTGGATGTGTTGGCTAGCATATACCTAGCATTTCAGCCGAAAGCATCTTCATTCTAGTCCATCTTTTGAGTAATTATGAAGGCTCGTCAGTTAAAAAGTAAATGTATTTAAATTAAATCTTTCCCACATAACCATTCAGTTTTACTTCTACAAGCATCGCCAATTTTTTATGAGTGTGAATATAAGGTACAGACATACAACTTGAATCCAATTTCGCTAACAAGACATTGTCACTCAAAAGCATGTAGAAACACCCTCACCCACCCGATTACCATAAGCCCAAAAGCCTTTTTGGTGCCCGGGGTTTTTGTGTTTGTCTGCGCTAAATGTTTGTGCCACTAAAATGCGTGAGAAATGATTACATATGACGCGTCTTTGGTTGCTTGTGCAGAACAAACATATACACATGTACGAGTATGTATATGAATAAATGAATAAATCGCTTTAACTCATTTTCGCATAAATTGTTATATTATATTGCAAATTCTGAATAAAATCCCGCACCATAGCTGCTGACTTTTGCCAGCTTAGCCAGCTCGTTAACCGAAGCATAATGAGAACAAACAGCAGCCATATAGACACACGAACTCGCTGCAACTAAGTAAGCCTAATCTGTGAGCAACACGCGTCAAAAGTCTTGGGACTTCGTCTACAATATTCGCTATTTAAGCCAAAATGTGTTGTAAATAATCTCATGCAGCATCGCTCATTAGTCGCACTGAGACCCTCATATCGGAGTCAGGTCTGCCATAATTTTCATCATTCAGTCAGTTGTCGTCTTGCTTACGGACTGATACCTCGCATCGCTCCACCGCAAACCTCAGTAAAACAAAGCCACAAAATCGGTACGAAGAAATGCCATAAAATTACAACCCATAATGTCAAAAAGAGAAAATAAACGAAAAATGTGGTCACAAAAATTGGACCGCAAAATGAATGGCGTGCATACTATACTATATATGTTTGTATACATATGCTTATTGTGTGTGTGTGTGTGAGTTGCTCTGTGTAAGCACTGGCATGACATGCGACATGAGCCGCATAACATTCCAAATACAAAGTGACACAACTAATAGCAAGGCAAATGATTTTTAATTAAAAAGTTGCTGTTATGTCGAAGAGAACTTTTGAGCCAGGATTGCAGGAAAAATTAAGTAAAAGTTCAGTAATCCTTTTCATATTAGACAGCACAATGTGCAGACGCCTCATTGTGCCTTTTAAATATTGACAGCAAGAATAAGTACAAAATGAAAACAGTTTTGTAGATCCATTACCTAAAAGCTAAAAGGTATATCTAAAATAATCCAATATTTACAAGTAGTTTGTAAAATGAGATGGAAAGGACAAAAAATAATACATAAATGAAATGAATCTGTAATACTATGTATATTTAGGGTTTTTTCGATTTTTTATAAAGTTGATTGACTTTTAGGAGAGGAGCAGAAAGAAATCGTTTCAAATCGTAAATAAATTTATCCTGTTTCAAAAACAATGTCCCTATCTTTTAATGATCGGACCTAATATAATGCTCAACTTAATTGAATTAAAAGGAAAATTATGTTTGCATACTTTTTTCGAATAGCATCAACAAGATGGAGTCTGCTTCTAACTTTCGTGCTTGCTTCCACAAAACGAAGTGAATCAACCTAGATTTCCAGCCATTTAATTACCATGCTTAATCGTAACTGTACCATTTCAGCAAAGAGAAGGAGAGCCAGAGAGAGGGGATGCGCGACCAAATTAGCGTTGATTGCGCTTTTTGGCGTACGCCAATGGAACAAAAACAAGTGAAAAACACGTCACAAACACTTCACTCGCATTCACGTTAATCACAGATACAAACACACATATACTCGCACACAAACACAGCCAGCTTGTGTCAAAGTGTGAGGCCCTTGGCATTATAAGCTGCTGTTGACATATATACGCATATCGCTCGCATCGTACCACATGGCGTATAAGTATTTTAATTAAGTATCAAAAAGGCGCACACAAAAACAAGGCGTTGAGCACAAGTTTGCGTTGAGTCGCGTTTTAATTAAGACATACTAACTAAGCCCCATGCATAAAGTATATACATATCTATATACATATGGGCACAAGTACGCAACTTAAAAGACTTAAGGGCAGCAGAAGCAGCAGCAGCAGCAGCCAAAAGATGAGCAAGTAAAATGAAAAGTTTCCATTTAAGCTAAACTCACAGTTAAATTTAATTTACTTGCGAAAAACTTGAGGCAGCTGTCGCTACTCCCTTCCTTTAAATGCCGAGACCACTCCGCCTACTGCTTGCCAGCAAGCCGCAAAAAAACATCGCGAGTCGCGACAACGTTGCGCACATCATATGGATTACTTATACGCCGCGTATCTTTCCCCGAGCAACGTGTGTGCGTGTGTGTGTGTGTGTGTGTGCAGGACCCTGCCGTGCCGTAAGTTGAGGCGGGTAAGTTAGCTGGCATTTCAGTTACACTTGCACAGCCCTCAGCGACAGGTGGCAACGACGGCAACAGCAACAGGAACAGGAACAAGAAAAACACCAACACAACCACATCAACTAAAAAAAACAAATAAATACACGTCCATGCTTGCGCGTTTCCGCTTCGTGTTGAAAATGTCGTTAAATTTGCGGCATTTAAATGGGACACAAGCACTTAAACATATGTATCTACACACATATATACATCCATATACAATTTCATGCATTTATACTTGTACGGTTGCATGTACATATGGGCAAGCATATTCATAAATAAGTGCTACAGCCTGCAGATGATGTAAAATTTTATTTATCTGCAAAGCGCAAAAACATTTTA